GCAAAAGAGCTAATAAGAAAAAATATAAAGGTCGATGTTGTTCAAAATATATATATGAAGAAAAATTCACAAATCAAAATCACATGTTATATTCCACGTGTTATTACGACGTTAAAAATGCAATAGTAAAACTAATAGAGAAGCGTGAGAAAAATTTAATGAAGAACTTTAATGATGATACATGGTTATTTCAAATCTTCTGTGTTAATTATGAAATTGATAAAATCCCGAAAGAGAAAGTTCCTCGCAGTTTATTAAGAGGGAGGAAGTACTCGTCAATCAACTGACCTTTAAGTAGAACAAACCCGTTTTTCTTGTTTTTTTTAAATTCGAAACTCGCTCGGAAGATGTGGAATTGTGAAGCGCACGACGCGCGGCGCAACTAGATCACGACGGAATCGGATTTGCCGAAGGTGCCCACCAGCGGGTTTCGGGCTCCTGGGCGCGAGATCGGCCCGATCTCTTCCCCTCTGTCTTTCGATCACGAGCCTTCTCACATCCAGAACGGCTCCAGATCTGAGAGCTGCCTCGCCTCGGGATGTACGAGACTCACTTGAACTCAGGATCTGACCTTTCTGGTTTTATTAGCCACGTTGGCTTAGGTATGCCTCGTCATCTCGGCGAGGCTCTCAGTGTTTCACAAAGCACGCGCGCGCTCGCAATAGAAGAGGCGCATACCTTCGGGGTCCTCCCAGCATCCTCCATCCGAGAATTATGCAAACCGATCCGCGCCTTACGGTTCTCCGTCAGCTGCTGAAATTGCTCGCCGCTACGTCAAGACGCATAGATATGCGATAACATTTATTCGTTGGCTACTGTGTATTAGACAAAGGATCTGATTTTATTTTCTCAATCGATCTTTTGTAAAGATTTGGAAGAGGAATGATAAGCAAAATCTTACTGTTTCTTGAAATTATAAACATCGTGATTTTCTTTACGATACAGACTTCAAAGCTTGTTTCTTGACATTCTCACAATGCCTTATATAGTATAGTTCTTAATTATTTCACTGCTATTATACAATTTTAAAGTTTGATTCAATAACAGCATAATGTAATTTAATCATTATTTCAGCTGATCTACTTTAATTCACGTTCTTAAATCATTACTCTAAAATATTATTTTTTTATTTATGCGCTGTTATTACATTTAAATTTTCTATTTATTAATTTTTATTCTCGAAATAGCAAAATTTGTTAGTAAATTCTATTGAGAAACGATGTTCCTCGAGAAACAAATTCTTTTCTCAAGATATGCTTTTTCTTTTATTTACATACAAGTTTTAAGTAAAATGTTTATCATATTTAAAAAACGATTTAGAAACATTAAGATTATGAAGGAAAATTAGATAACACTCGTTTCGAAATCTAATTAAACGTCTAGCGAGTTTGTGTGCAAAAGTCAATCTTGGAAAATATCATATATAACGGAGGCCAAGGAAACAATTATCAAATGATTCAAGTGACCTAAAGCATGTTTAATGTCGATCTATTACGACTCTGACACCACTACTTTATTCTTAAAATAAAAAATTAATATACATAATTGAAACGAGTTTATAATTTTCATAAATCTTAAAAATATAGAATTTAAAAAAATATAGGTACATAGACATATTGTCCGAGGAAAAATATTCTGACCGCGTAAAATGAAGACAAATGATGAGTACGAGAAACTTAAACACTTGATAAATTAATACTTCTGATAAGCTAATATCTCGGTTATTATTAATCGTCGCGTGCGAGAGCAGCAGAGACATAAATTTATGATTTTATGGATCCGCAATATGCTGCGCATATGTATAGGGTGTTTCACAAAAGTGTTACAAAGTTATTTTCTCCGAAACTTGATCGTACAAAAAATTTCATCAGACAAAATTTAGAATTTTAAAAGAGAAAAAAGTTGATAATCTAAAATTTTAATTAATAATAAGATTATTTTTTAAGATCATTTGAAGATCAATCTAGTTTTTATATAAGTAGCACTATCTTGATTTAAAAAAAAATGACTTAAGTTTAAATTCAAGATTATCATTTGTTTTTCTCTCTTAAAATTTTATAAATTTTTTTTTTTTTTTTTCGAAATATTTTCTTATACGATGTCAAGTTTCGAAGAAAACACTTCGTAACATTATGTGAAATATCCTGTATGTGTTACGTGCACATATGATGAAAGAGCGGAGCGAAGTTCGAGAGACTCCTGTCTAGTTCGACGGGCGTTTAATGAAAATTGCGAATACCACTTACTCAACGACATTTCGCCGGTACGCATTATTTACTACAATATATGTACTGGTAAAAGAAAACAGTGATAAACACCAAGTGAAATGTGCTGTATTAACTTGGGGAAGTAGAATTTGTTTAGATTGCAACAACGCTCTTGGACTCTCAGAGAACTAACAAGTAGGATTACCGGTATATAATCCGACTTGGATTCTTGGATTCTTCACTATTCTTGTTTAGCGATATTACATATCGTGTAAAGTCGGCGAATGCTAAAATTATATACGTAACTTGTATACACACGACACAATAAAGTAAATATATTATAATACTTATTAATTTGATCTTTTATTGCTTGATTTATGGATAAGAAAGAATATACGTGTGTATACATGCACAAAATGAATTATACTAACGAAAAATTTATTTAGTAAATATATATATATTAATATAAATCATAATCATAATTGTATAATTATTAAAATGTACTTATGAATTGGATTCATATTACCGAAAGATATTTATCAATATGTACATCGTGACAATTGAATAAATTATGAAAATTTTTAATATGTATCAAATAAAAAAAGATCGTTAAACAAGATTAATTGCTATAAATTTTTGATTAATGCAAAAGTTCATAAGTCAACTTCGCTCATAATTTATTGATTAATTAATGTCTAATGTCAATACTAGTCAACATCAAATATAATAAATATATTTCGGAATAATTCGCAAAATTAGCGATGATATAAGTTGACATTTACTCCTGTTGGAAACGGCATCGACAGGACAAACCAGGTAGATAACTAACGATTCGCTTTTCAATCGATTGTGATCGGACGATAATTATCTGTGGAAAATGATGAATAGTCGCTTTCCACGCGCATCATTCGGCTTGGCGCATTGTGTTGCTTATTACGTATGCATCGCATCAATTCCACTGCGACTTCATTTTATGTGCATTTAATTCGATGACTGAACCGAATCGCATGTACATCGAATCGAATTGCATATTCTCGCATAGATTGTATTTCTCAATCTGGAAAATATAACTTCACAAGTGCGATTATGTACATGCGATTGCATTATACGTGGAAGCGTTTATTCCGTTCTGGGAGTGGTTACGTCTTAGGTGAACGCTTACTTTGAGACTTTGATGTTAAAATATGCTGTATTGTAAGAAAAATGAAAAGATAAATCGCCATATGCCATATAAATCGCAATAGAAGAATAGAAGGGAATTTTGGTCGAAGGAAAGGAGACAGAATGAAAAATGAAAAAATTGCTGCATGTGTATAATTTATCAATTAACTGAGAGAAAGAAATACTACTTTTAAACAATTTATGTATGACTGTATATTATTTAATTTTCAATTTGTAGATTTTTAGATAATAAATCTTTGTCGGACATTGAACCATTTATGATTTTCACTCTGTACTATTTACAGAATCTCTATAATATTACTATATCGATTAGCATTCACTCCAATTATTATTTTTTTATGAAAAGATTTACATTATTTATAATGCAAAAAGAGATGAATTTTTACGAGGCTAAGAGAAAGAATTTGAACAAGATTTTACTTCATATTCTCGTGAGATACATCGGTATATAATAGTTATTATGTAACGCTCTCAATACACGTGACGAAATCAGATGTATGAATGGATATCTTATGGTGCATTGTTTCTGATTTGTCCGTTTTGCAGTTGCGTTACATACGCAAGAGAACGAAAGAGATGAAGACACCGGCAGACTGCCCCTTGGATCGCCAGGTGGATGCTTTTATTGTGATTGTCTTGAAAGTAATTGGAGGACAATGTGCGAGATATGATTATATATTCAGGATCTCCGCGGGAAACGAAAGCAATGTGAATAACAAATGTGAGAAAAAATGTAATCATTGCTGTCGATTATACGCCGTGCCTATTCGATCTCGAATTAACGCTTGTCGCATCCGTTGTTGGCCAACATTGTTGTTCGCGGCCGCGTAGGATTTACATTCACAGATTATCCGTGTCGTGCATTTTTCCAATGCAAATGTGTACGATACCGACTGTCATGAGCAGCATAACATTTAAATTTATTGGGAGTCGCCGATAATATCGGGAGAAAACACTAATCCTGTCTATGTTCCTTTTACATTTACAAATGAGAATGTTCTACATATTATTTATAATCGTTGCATGATATAACTATGAGGTTTTTAGTTTACTTAATAATCATCTCTCTATATATAATCTCATTTTCGATAAATAGAAATACTCAATTATTGCGCGTCATCGGACCTAATTTTTTATTAAATTAATCGCATATGTTATATGTTTGTTAAAAAAAAATCGGCGAAAGATTGTCCTAATTATTTAGTCGCAAATTAGCAAAATAAATAATTTAGCAAAATAAAAAATATGAGAAATGATCGTCGTCGAAGTAATTAGACTGCGAAGTCATACCGATATCACCCGATATCATTACTTACAATGACACCCACATCGTCATTTCTCGCAGACTCAGTACGTTAACAAATGACTCTATTAAACTGAAACAGTAGCCGGCGTGGGCATTCGTACACACACGTGTGTTAACAAGTAATCGGCCCGGCAAATTGAATTCACATCGGTCAGGATGCTGCGGAGATGATACCGTGTATGCATATGTTGGGGTTGCTAAGTGGGATGGGAATATTACGAGGACGATGAGGGATCTCCGTTAGAGGAGAATGCTCCTCATGAGGGATCTCCGTTAGAGGAGAATGCTCCTCTCACAGCACGAACGAGCGATTCCACGCAGAAATCGGGAGAATGGGAAGGGAAGAGATCCTCTTAGTCTTCATATAAATGCCGGTGATGCTCGCAGTACGGGATCACATAGATTTGATCGTCAAATCGACAGCTGGCACGAATCGCCTTCATCATGCAGTATCTAGTGAGTGATTATTTCATCGAGAGCGCTACTGATTTTCCGGATATCAATCGCGATCCTGCCGTGTCTAGTTTTCGCGTGTTTCTTTCTACTTATTCTTTTCTTTTAATTCATCTGTGGATGCACGAAGATGTTTAAATTGTTCGATGATCAATGATCAATAGATGTTCGATGATCAATGATCAATAGATGAAATGAAAAATTTTAAAAACGTTAAATATTTTTTCGCTAAATTACGATTCGCGCGCGAGTTTACACAAGATTGGCATTTTATTAGCGAAGTATTTCGCAATCGATAGGATTGAACTTATAAAATGCGGGAACAGTGGCGAATTTCAAATAAAAATACCTAAATAGCGAAATTTGAATGGATGTCGAATAAAAAATGTGATATTTTGTTGTCGGATTAAACGCACGAAATATCGATTGCTTTTATCGTTTGCTCGACATTTTTTTGATATAAGAAATATGTCGCGAATGCCTTTTATATAATTCAAAAATTAATTGATATCAATACTTTAGTGTGTCTCTAGTTATCAACATGTATTAATCTCCTTCTACACACATATGTATATATATATATATAAATCCAAAAAAATATATTTTTCTGAATATTTACATGTGTATTGGTTAAATATATAATTACAGATCTTGGCCTTTGCAATCTTCAGCTGCGTCTTCGGACAATTCGGATCTTTCCGTGGTTTTCCCAACCAAAATGCATATAGAGCAACGCCGAGACCCTATCAACCGCAACCGCAACCGCAGCCACAATACTCGTAAATCTGTTTAAATCGTTAAAGTTATAATTCTTTTGCGATGACTTAATTAGAAAATTATTTTATTGGAAAATTATTTCCTTGAATTATATCATTAGACCAACATAAGTTCCGCGATTGCAAAATTATAACATAAATTAATTAATTATATCAAAAGAATTATATCAGAAAATTGTATTTAATTTTATTGATATAAAAATATTTTTCAAATTATAACGTTGAAGTTTTTAAATTATACGTTTATATAACGTTGTCATGAAACATTATTAGTCGTAAAAAAGATTTGAGGTAGGAAATTGTTTTAATATCAATGTGTATATAGAGATATTTTTTTTTAAAGTACCGTTAAAACTGTAAGTATATAAAACTAATTTTTATATAGCTTTTTTCTGTTATTGTTTTTTAAAACTAATTATCATTTAGCATTAAAATAAAAAGTAAACGCGGGACTAAAATATCTTTCTCATAATATAAAATACATATAATATAAAAATACTTATTCAAGCTTATGCGAAATGATACGATTTTGTGGATATATTATTTGTTTTTTAGCTCTGCCGGAAAGCCCTTTATAGGCATTCGTAGTCAACAAAAGGATACATCACCGGACGGATCTTACACTTTCAGTTATGAAACGGAAAATGGAATTTCAGTCTCCGAAAGCGGATATCCTCAAGCCGGACCTCAGGGTCAAACGGAGGTAATAATATTGCATTGTTGAATTTCGTGCATACTTAATGTATGTATATATGTGTAATCTATTTATGTAAATAATTTAATTTTTGTCCGAAAAATCATACGCAAAAAAAACCTTAATTCTTTTATTAGAAATTTTCATTAGAAATTTAAATTCCTGTAATCTTTATATCATAAATATAGGCGTTACAGCTGATAAAAATTAATATTACCTATATAAATATGTAAATTTCACTTCTTCATACTAATTTTGATCGAGTTTTATTCTTTCCTCTTTATTGCCTATCAATTGGTTTTGCTTCTATACAATAATATTTATGTATTTGCTGATATTTCATTTTTTATTAGCTAAAAATTTTTATTTCTTTCATTACCAAATTTATTTAATTAAAAAATTCAAGAATATATTGATTAAATCCAGTTTCTCTTAAAAACTTGAGAAAACTTATTTAATTAATTTTCTAATGTTCTTAAAAAAACTTATTACGTTAAATTTTTTGGTAATAATTGATCTTACTAATAATCTTAATGAAATAATCAATCTAAAATTAACATTATCAAAAGAAATCAAAAAGCTTTAATTATAATATATATCTATCTTTATTTATTTATTTTCTAATATATTTTATATCTATACATATAAACTTCGACAGGTGGTCCAGGGCAGATTTTCATATCCTGCACCTGACGGTACTCCCATCACCATCGAATATACAGCTGACGAGAATGGCTTTCATGCTCAGGGTGCCCACATTCCTACGCCGCCCCCTATCCCGGAAGCCATCAGAAGAGCACTCGCGGCAAATCCGCCCGGACCTGATGACGAGAAGTACGATCGACAGCCGTTTCAGCAGAGATTCAGTGGACCGGTATACAACGCCAACCCTTACCGGAGATTCTAATTTCGCACATCATTTGATTACAAAATCTTCCACGACGCACTCATGATACAGCCAAGCGAATCTGTTAAATGGAGGCTCGGCTAGACATATATCGTTGGCTTTAAATCATCTTCTTTCCAGCCTCTAATCCGAAGTGATACGTGTACATAAGATACAATATGGTGGATATAACAATATCGACCCCTACAGCAATGTAACTTTCGTTGTGCAATAAATCAGTATATATTGTTTTTATTTGCTCTTATGTGATCTTTCCTCTTTGCTGTTTGTCACAACATCGGTATCGAGAAAAATATATATTTAATAATATTTATGATTTTTCGTTTTAATATAACGTTATAGCAGATGAGATATTTGATAATTCGATACACATTATTATACATCATAATATGTAGATTGCGTGTCCGATTATTACTTGAAGATGCCTTGTGGAAAAAGTAACGTATAGTTACATGTTCTATTCGTTCGATTATAATTATATACATTTCATGTTCCCATGAAAAATGAAGGGTAGCATAGAATAATGGGATTATAATTCTACGAAAAAAAGAATGCTTAATGTCGAGCACTACTTATGTTGAAATTATGACAAATTACAATATTTTTGTTTGGCGTCAAAGTCGCACAAGTTTTAGAATTTATAAAACGCGATCGAAAGTTTAAAGAAACACTTTTAAAATTGCTTTTCATCTGTCTGATTTGATGCAATGACATACATCGACGGCAAGAAAATTGCCAGTTTTACAGACACGCCATGTTATTGTATTTATACGAAAAAAAATACTTATTCGTTTTTATGATGCCTATAATTTACTATAAAATCTGAAATCTAATAAACATAAGTAATTGTAACATAAAATAAATAGCTTTTATCAAAAAACGCGAACAATTTTTAAATAAATCGGGTATGCTCTATCAAATGATGATATTTTCAACTTCTGATTCCGACCGGAAATACGCTATCCGGATTAGAAGTTGAATTTTTTTAGGAGAACATGGTACTTTTTATTACAGATTCGAATAGTACGTGAAAAAATAAGAAACTTTTGTATCAAACGTTTTTTCTGAAAGTGACTCTGTCAATCTTAACATTTGAAGTTCATTATTTTATCACAGTTACTTTCAAGGTCAATCTTAAGATTGACAGAGGCACTTTCAAAAAAAATGTTTGATACAAAATTTCTTATTTTTTCACGTACAATTTGAATCTGTAATAAAAAGTAACATGTTTCCCTAAAAAAATTCAACTTCCGATCCGGATGGCGTATTTCCGGTCAGAATCAAAAGTTGAAAATATCACCATTTGATAGAGCGTACCCGATTTATTTAAAAATTGTTCGCGATTTTTGATAAAAGCTATTTATTTTGATGTTAAAAGGGATGTACGGTCTGGGACACTCCGTATATATATATATATATATATATATATATATATACGGAGTGTCCCAGATCGTACATCCCTTTTATATATATATATATATATATATATATATATATATATAAGGTGTCCCAAACCATCCGTACACTCCTTTTAAAATGAAAATAAATAGCTTTTATCAAAAATCGCGAACAATTATATATATATATATATATATATATATATATATATATATATATGAGATGTGCTTCAATACATGCGAAAATATTTTGTTATACATAAAAAAAGTTATCTTATTTTGAATGTTTTCGCAAAATTGCAATAAAACTTATTAATTAAATGCAATTATTAATTAGTAATGGTCTATTCGTCATGTATTAGCTTCTACTTTGCGAATTGAAAGGGTATGAAGAACATAAATTTGCGATTACTTTTACGATTGTGAGAAAAGGTAATATGTAAAGTTCAACTTCGTAACAGCTGCTGAAAAATCAATTGAGCCTTTCACATCATATAATCTTCATTGATCGTCCTCGTTTCAGATTTAAATTTATAATTCCGAAATCTGCAAATTGAAAACTTAAACAGACATAATATAATTAATTGATATTTAAAAATATTGATGTTTTGTATCATATATATATTTTTTATATTTTACATTATTTACATAGATTATTTACATAGAACAAAACGTAAAATATGAATATATATAACATATATGTAATAAGATATATTATAAAAAAAATTTATATACGTACAGTAGAAGTCATAAATTTTATCGTTATCGATTACTCATGTAAATGAAAAAAATTTGCGCGTTAATTTATCATGTCTAAATGAAGAATTCTAGTTGATCTAAAACTGATCTAAAACAACGTAAGCTAATGATAACAAGGGTATGGATACACCCTGACCTCTTCATATGTAACACGCGAGAATGAAAGAGTACTATTAAAGTTCGCATACCTGCAGCGAACGCTTCGAAATTATGTTTACACGATGTACGAGCAAACGAATGGATAGATTGATCATATTAAATAAATTTGTGAATTAACAAATTGAAAACTTAGATAAAATTTCTCTTTTCTCTTTATCATGTAATTAATTCAGAGAGTATTAAGTATTTTCTTATATTATATATATTGTTTTAATAATTTAACTCTTTTCATTTCTTAACAATATTTTAAAAATATTGATTTGATTTTTTTAAACATCAATAAAAAGGAAATTCGTTTTCAGTAAAACAAAATTGCAAAAAAGGATCGTGCATCACCTGAAAGTATGTAAACACATCTTAAATGAATCATTCTGAACAAGCAGGATGGGACGGATAAAGTGAAAGTGTTGTACGCACATCTTGGCCTCTCTTTCGTTACTTTGCATTCTTGCACGCATCATCCCGGTCAAGGACCGATCATCCGACACATGGAGCGCAACTTGGGCGGTTCCTCGAAAGGTTCGATCGAATCGATCATTAGAACAGAAAAGAAGGCCAAAAAAGTAAAAAGCGAGAAAATATATCTTCGATTTTGTCAAATACATGATAAAGCGTACAATTCATTATATCTATGAAATTAATTGTAAGTTTAATTTTCTTTAATATCAGATTGTTGAGATATTAATAAGACACGGCGTTAATTACTTTTCACATTTTTATATTAAAATAATTGATAAATTAATGATCAGTTAGACAAAATGTATATAATATGCATGATTGTCATTAGGTCAAATTAAATATAGAAAATTTAGCTTAAAATATTTATGAAAAAAAAAAAAAAAAGAATATAGATATTTCGACGAGTTCGAAGTCACAGTGCACGTTATGTCAAGCTGAATATGTTTTTAATACCGCTATATATAGAATGTTCATTTTAAAATTTTTCATCCGTTTATTTCACGATTGACTATTTTTTGCGAAAAATGTCAAAAGATCAATTCAATTTTGTGACATCAATGTTTTCGAGAACATTTAAGTACATTAAATGCAATGCTTTTTCATTCCCTTCGTTGGAGTAGCTATCCTTTCAAAAATTTTAAATGGCAATAGAGAGGTCAAGTAATATATTATTTTAAATCTTTTGATTCTCTATATAATTCTCTTTCTTTTTTTTTATTTAAATGAATATTTTTCGAGAAATCGCACTTGGAAGTTTAAGGTGTCAAAATGGTAAGGTGTTCAACCGATTGAAATCCTAGTTACTTCTGCTTACGACCAACTTTATCATCATTTCTATCGTCTTCTAGGATACATAAAGCTAAAGCAATATTCTGATTGGTTCTTCAGCTTACGTTTATGGTTATGGCAATTCATGTGCGAAAGCCTTTAAAGGCCATTCTACAATGGCCGTAGCATAAGGTTGTAAGGCGTAAAACTCAAAAAATTGACCAATCACAGTCGAGTATTCTCTTAATACTTGACTGTGATTGGTCAATTTCTTGAGTCTTACTCCTTACAACCTTATGCTACGGCCATTGTAGAATGACCTTAAAGCGTCGTCTACAATGGCAGTAGGATTAATGAATTAAAGCTGTAACTCAATAAATTGACCAATCATAATCGAGTATTCTCTTAATGCTTGACTGTGATTGGTGAAGTTACAGCTTTAATGCATTAATCCTACTAGAAGACGCTTAAGGTATAAGGCTCGTTCTACAATGAGTCGTAAGTCGTAAGTCGTAGGCAAATTGACCAACCATAGTCGATTATTTAAAAAATAATCAATCTATGATTGGTCAATTTGCCTACGACTGACGACTCATTGTAGAACGGGCCTAAGACTTAAAAAATTGACCAATCACAATCGAATATTCTCTTAATACTTGACTGTGATTGATTAATTTCTTAAGTCTTACGCCTTAAATACCTCCACCCCGCCGGTAAAAGTGCCAACGGTAGGGTGCAACTTTTCACGCGAAGCGAGGTTTCACTTTGCAACTTTCCACGCAAAGCGAGGTTCCACTTTGCAACTTTCCACGCGAAGCGAGGGGGACGGGTTGGGTGCGGGAGGAGGGCCGAAGTCCCCTCCTCGTGTGTGTGTGTGTGTGTGTGTGTGTGTGTGTATGTGTATGTGTGAATGCTAGTGCCATCGGTATGACCATAGCAGAGAGAAGACTGAGAGGTATCATGGCCCGCTTTTAGGTGATCCCTGAAAGCGATACGCCCTCTGTTTAATCTAAAAAACGTGGACGACATGAACTACAAAGCCAATGTCCACGAAAGTTCTCAGAGGGTAACATATAAGGCCGCAGCACCACAGATTAATAGACAGATAGCCAATGACCCGGGTAAAGACTAGACCGGTACTTTCTCACTGATTTCAGCGCCATACCGTAGTAGTGGCCAATGCAATAACTACTAACTACGTTCTTAGGATGAAACAGCGAGATGAGTTAGTCTGACAAAGACTAACAATCCATCGCTCTGACTTTGTCTCACCAACGATGAGCGTCTCGTGGACCCGTGCGGCGGCAAGCATGAGATATCACCTTTCGCGTTTTTATACTCGGCAAGCGGCAAATCACAAACGATAATAAAAGTATGTGTATTTTTGTATTTACCAGTTTATTCGAGAATGTGAAACGATTCGCATCAGCCAGCAGAAGAAATTTTGTAGATTAGTTAGAAGTTGAGTAAGTAATTAATTAATATTATATATTTCTATTTACATATATACGCGTGCGTGTGTGTGTGTGTGCGTGCGTACGTGCATGTGTGTGAAGAATCTCTATGTATATTATTCAAACTTAAAATAAGAACATTCATATATTATAACTACTCAATCAACTATTTAATTGTAATGTACGTGCAAATGCATCATGCCTTGTACATACGTAGAACATTATATAGATGTTATAAATGTCTTAGCCAGATTACAAAATCCATTGTTTTATAAAAAATCATAAATCTAAAATGATGTAAAAATCAATAAAATTTCATAAAAGGTTTAAAGGACCAGCGCAAAGGTGAAAAGATGTGAAAATAAAAACGGTTATATTAATATAATAAAACGTTTATTTAATTTAAGTGACAAACGCTGCGTTTCGATCCAATTCGGATCCTTTTAAATGTCAAATCACGGAATAAAGTAATAAACATAAAAATAAAATAAATATAAGATCAAATTAACAGTCATTAGAAATAAGTAACGGAAAGACGCGAAGCAAAATAAATAATAATAAAAGAGTTAGAAATGTCGAAGTAAAATTATGCAAAATAACCGACGAATTCAATTTATCCGCTTATCAACTCGTTGCGCTTCTTTGTTAATTTGAATTCATCAGTTATTTTGCGTAATTTTACTTCGACATTTCTGACTCTTTTATTATTATTTATTTTGCTTTGCGTCTTTCCGTTACTTATTTCTAATGACTGTTAATTTGACCTTATATTTATTTTATTTTTATATTTATTACTTTATTCCGTGATTTGACATTGAAAAGGATCCGAATTAGATCGAAACGCAGCGTTTGTCACTTAAATTAAGTAAACGTTTTATTAGGTTTATTATATTAATATAACCATTTTTATTTTCGGATCTTTTCACTTTTGCGCTGGTCCTTTAAGCCTTTTATGAAATTTTATTGATTTTATCCTACAGATCTTTATTCTATTATTAATTTTATTATTCTTAATTTTGATGTAAAAATCGTTGCGTTTGACAATGTAACAATTAGTTTCTTGTAAACGTTTTATAAAATGACTAAAATTCTCTCTTAGCCAGATTGTAAAACATTTCATTTTTAACTTGAGAATGGGACCGCACTTTATAAAATGTCTAGACGTTTTATAAAACGACGGATTTTGTAATCTGGCTACGACATATTATTTTTATTTATTAGTGTTTGCTGCGATATATGTACATATAAAACATTAAATATTTACATAAACATAATGATTTTTTTATAACAGAATGGACAAAGAACAAATAAAAAGAAAGTTAGAAGAGATCATGGAAAAAGAAGAAAAAATAAAAAAAAGAAGAAAAGAATTTGAGAAAATGTTGGAAGAAAATAATACTGATGAGGGAGCAGATAACGATGAAAAGTATTTATTGTTCTATGACATATGTAATATGTATATACAGGGTCTACCAAAAGTGTGGAAACCCCTAAATATCTCGGAAAATATACGTTTTACAGAAAAGTGTTTCCAACAAAAGTTGTAGGGTTTAAGAAGATCTATATACTGATTCTATCAGTTTGACCTTGGATGGCGTCGTCAAGGTCAGGTCAAGGTCACATTGACTTTTTTAAATGACACCCCCTACATTTGATTGCATATTCTTATAGCTTAATTCAAGAGCTTTCCAAAACACTATAATAATGTTCATTTTTATTAAGTACTTTGCGAGTTATGAGGGTTGAATGATAGAGTAGCGCCGGTATTAACATTATCCAAGGTGTACTACATGGAGGTTACTCGCTCGGATTTGCATCTGTTGTGTGTGTGATCCAGCTAACTAAGGCAAGATCGGTCGTGGATCCAGTCAGCAAAAGCAAAGATCCAACCAAATTACAATCGAGCATTTAAAGACCTGGAAAGCAATCGACATAGTAAACAGTAAATAAATTTGTGGATGCTCATTTATCATAATAATTGTTCGAAATGTGTGCGTGTGCGTGCGTGCGGTGCGTGTATACAGAGATCAGGTTAGGTTGCACCAAACGATTGCAAATGTGTTTCAATGTGTTAAAGTAAATGCTGAAAGTGGCTGCCATTTACTTCCTGACAATATGCTAATCTTTGGTAGAATGTAGAAATGACTTTACGATTCGTTTCAAAAGGTATCAAAGCCATTTCATCCCTTATTCGCTGTATCAATTCGTGAATGGTTTTAGGTTTTGTTCTGTAAACCTTACTCTTCAGATATCCCCATAGATAATAATCAAGAGGAGTTAGATCTGGTGACCGAGGTGGCCAATCCTCTCCTCCCTCATTTCCGTTCCTTCTTCCTATCCACCGTAGCGGAAAAGTCTCATTTAAAATACGACGTGGTCCTGCACCAAAATGAGCAGGAGCTCCATCATGCTGAAACCATATTTCTTGGAAATTATTTGGAAAAGTATTCTGTATGGCTGGAATTATTTGATCAACAAGTAATCTCTCATACCTTTGAGCGTTCAAATATTCTTCAAAAAAAAACGGCCCTATTAAATAGCCATCTATTATTCCGCACCATACATTTATTTTTTGTGGATGTTGTGTGTGAGTTTCCCGCACCCAATTCGGATTCTCATCTGACCAGAAACGAAAATTTTGATTATTAACTTCTCCCGTTAAGGTAAAAGTTGCCTCGTCTGTGAAAACAATTTGATAAGGGAAGATGGGCCGGACATCTATTAGTGCCATCATTCTTTCACAGAAATGTATACGACGCTCCTCATCTCCGTTTTGCAATTCTTGAACGTATTGCAATTTATATGGATGGAACTTGTTCTTCTTTAAAATTCTCCAAACCGACATGGGAGCAATATCGTGAGTTTGAGCGACTCTCTGAACACTAGAATTGGGATCTTCAATAAATGTCTGCAGAACATCAAGTTGTTTTTCTTCGTTGGTTGCAGACAATGGTCTTCCTGACTTAGAGCGATTTCTTACGCTACCAGTTTGTCTAAAACGTTCTATTGTTTTTAACACAGTGGACTTATTAATTCGACGGTTCGGATACGTGTCATTAAATAATCGAACGACATCAGAGAACGATCTTTCGTTATCACCCCATCCACGCATCATGAGGATAGTGATTCTTTCACGTTCCGACAAGTCGCCAGCCATTTTTAAAACGTTTAATTTTAATTAATCGTACGTTGTATTTGGACGATAACAATTAATTTCTGCTTGCTCAAAGCTGAAGTTAGAAGGTGCTCGTTCTTTGATAGCTTTATACATTCTTAGTTGAATTTTAAATGCGAGTTAGACTGCATGTAGTGCGTCACATAGCGGTAAATGAAGGAACTAACGAGACGTTTCATACACGTTTTATGGAGCAATTTTTTGGCAATTTGACTTCAGCGAAATATGAGGATATGTTGAGGAATCGATCTTGCCTTAGTTAGCTGGATCACACACACAACAGATGCAAATCCGAGCGAGTAACCTCCATGTAGTACACCTTGGATAATGTTAATACCGGCGCTACTCTATCATTCAACCCTCATAACTCGCAAAGTACTTAATAAAAATGAACATTATTATAGTGTTTTGGAAAGCTCTTGAATTAAGCTATAAGAATATGCAATCAAATGTAGGGGGTGTCATTTAAAAAAGTCAATGTGACCTTGACCTGACCTTGACGACGCCATCCAAGGTCAAACTGATAGAATCAGTATATAGATCTTCCTAAACCCTACAACTTTTGTTGGAAACACTTTTCTGTAAAACGTATATTTTCCGAGATATTTAGGGGTTTCCACACTTTTGGTAGACCCTGTATATAATATATATATATATATATATATATATATATATATATACAGGGTGGGGAAAAAGTATGGAAGCAAACAATTATTTCCGAAACTATTCATTTTTCGACAAAATGTCTTAGACATAATTTTTATGGTATGAAAAGATGTATTATGTGGCATAGACGGCATGGCCTTGAAATGACCCTTACGAGCTGCATACAAATAACGTAAAAAATTTTAAATGGAACTCGTCAGTTTTTGTTACAGATTCTTGTAGCTGATGTCGAAACGTTTACAAAACACTGCATATGAGCCCCATTCCCTTAAAAACACTCCCAGTTACGAAACAATTGTGATACAAACAATTTGTATGCACATTGACATTGCTTACATTTGAAATTACAGAAATGAAAATCAGTAACAATTCCTATGATAGAAAACGACAAAAATAGCAAATTTTCAAAACACAATATCCGAAACTTGTATGCCAATTGACACTACTTTTTTAAGGATAAAATAAATGATAATAATAAATAAGGTAGCGATGATCAAGAAATCAAAAAAATTCTATGAATACTCATAGACAGTGTATCATATGACAACAGGTACAATTACATGTTATTAGTGGACGCAACTGAATGTCATGATGCGAAATCAGTAAGCAATGTCAATGTGCATACAAATTGTTTGTATCACAATTGTTTCGTAACTGGGAGTGTTTTTAAGGGAATGGGGCTCATATGCAGTGTTTTGTAAACGTTTCGACATCAGCTACAAGAATCTGTAACAAAAACTGACGAGTTCCATTTGAAATTTTTTACGTTATTTGTATGCAGCTCGTAAGGGTCATTTCAAGGCCATGCCGTCTATGCCACATAATACATCTTTTCATACCATAAAAATTATATCTAAGACATTTTGTCGAAAAATGAATAGTTTCGGAAATAATTATTTGCTTCCATACTTTTTCCCCACCCTGTATATATATATATATATATATATATATATATATATATATAGTATTATATGCAGAGAAACAGCAGCAGGATCCATCATCCCACATGCAGCGTCGGGCTGGTGTAAGGCGCGCCGAACGTGATGAAAAGTATATTTATTAAATTTCGGATTTATATATGTATATATATCAATTTATGAGAATGTATTTGTTATTTTACGCGTGCGTGCGTGCATGTGCACGCGCGCGTGCGCGCGTGTATGTGTGAGAGAGAGCGCGCGCGCATGTGTGTGTGTGTTTAAATATATAAAATAATTATATCTCTCTATTTATCAAGCTATAATATGTTTCTCTCTTATGTTTTATAGATATAAATGGTCTGCACGCAGAGAGAGAGGAAGAATGGAGAGCAGAGGAGGAAGAAGTTCGAGAAGAAGAAGCAGATCTTTTAGTAAAGGAGGAGCAGGAAGAGGAAGAGGCCGCGGAAATATAATTTTTAATTATAATTTTTAATTTTTTTATAATAATATAATATTTATTTTTTTTAATTCTTTTTTTAAGTTTTCTATAAATTTTTTTTCATTTTTTTCTACTAAAGTAAAGATATGTAAGAATATATAAGAATAATATTATAATTTAATAAATTTATTAAAATTTAATAAAAGTCTAATTTTATTTTGTAGTATAATATTATATTTAGAAAACACTGATTATTTTAGTTATTTTATTTCATTATTTTATTGCACTTTAGAATCTTCATACTATTACTTTATTTAAATATGTTTTATATGTGAACATGTAAGACACATTGCTTACTTTCTAAAATCACATTTTCATATTTGTAAAAATAACATTGTACATACAATACATATTAAAATAAAATAATAATATAAACAATAAATAGAAAGGTAATAATATAAAGTTATATAGAGCGATTCTGAACAAACATTTGTCTTTAAAATATTAAATTCTTGAATGAATTCTAAAACGATTTTTCCTCTTGAAAAATTTTGCCCAGAGTTTAGTTTTTAAACTATAAAGGAAAATAGTTAACAAATTACGGAACGAGTACGAGAAGTAGGTAGGGACAGCGCGATATAAATGATTACGTGGGGCGCTCGCCGCGATCAGCTAATTGCTACACTTATGAATTGATGAAGATTCGACCAACATTTCTCACTGGAACGTAATCACTTATATCGCGCCGTCCCTGCCTACTTCTCGTATTCGTTCCGTTATTAATACGAACTATTTTCCTTTATAGTTTAAAATCTAAGCTCCGGGCAAAATTTTGCAATAGGAAAAATCGTCTTAGAAATCATTCAAGAATTTGATATTTTAAAGACAACAACAGTTTGTTCTGAATCACCCTGTATATATTTATATGTAATTTTATATACAATAATCTTGGTGTCAATTGTTAGCTACTCATAGAGCATTTCCAGGAGACGCCACGTGGAGGCCAATTGATACATAACTCGAAATTCTTAAAAATATAAACATAATATTTGCTAATAAAAAATATAAAAATGTTAATATCTTGCATTTAAAATTAATATATAAAAAAAATAAAAAATTATGTTTTAATTTTAAAAAATTCCGAGTTAATTGTCTCCCAGTTTATTCGATCTGCCATAAGGCCACGAATTTTTACATATTTTATACTCGTTCCGCATTAAATGCCGCGAGTAAATATAAAATAGTCAGATCGTACCGCTCGAAGAGCCGCGATCGTTTTACTCGTTCCGCATTAAATGCCGCGAGTAAATGTAAAATGGTCAGATCGTACCGCTCGAAGAGCCGTGATCGTTTTATATATTGTACGTAGTAATGGTGATTTTACATATGTTTTATGTTCTTTAGTTTTTGACATTTTGTCTTTATTTCTTTTGATCTTCCAGATACTGTATTTATTCCTTCTCTTCCTCCATTGTTATTCTTTTTTGTAATTGCATATATCTTGACTCTTAACATAAAGTCTAACATTTGCATTCTATGTGAATAACACTCGTTGATCTGATTAAACCAATCTTCATCAGTATGCTGGACGTGTTTAACACAAATCTCAAGGAGCTTTTTCTTCACATCTTTGAAATATCAATACTTCTTGTAACATCAATTTATTGCTTCAAGTTGTAGAGTTGTAATAATATTCAAGTTGTAGAGTTGTAATAATATTCAAAAATGAATCCGTTGGTCTTGATAGCCATTCTATTTCAGGATCATCTTCGTCTTCATGTTCATATTCACGTAGCTGAATATAGATTTCATTGTCGTTTGATTCTTCCATCGGTGTTTTCAAATTTTTTTCACGACAGCTGTCGCACTTTGTATTCTTGTACCGTAGCGAGCAATATATCCTGCGAAATATGAAATTGCATTTCTTTCATATGAATGTAAGTTCTCCTTGCCTCTGAATGTAAGTTCTCCTTGTTGATCTTTGTTATTTCATCTAGATAGTCGGAATTGTGTTCTGAATATTTTGTAATTTCTTCAAAGGCTGTCGCAATGAGATTATCACAGTCGTCATCCATTTCAGTTAAACAAGTTAATTCTTCTTGTAATGGAATATTGTTATTTTCCATTTCACCACGAATTACCGATGTACATCCGTTAATGGAGACGTTTCTTGACAAGTTACATTTTCTCTGTCGCTTCCATAAATATATCCACTTAATAAAATATGCCGCAACGTTAACCGTACCATTCCAGCAGTTGGATTACGGTTAAATCCTCCGCGTCCTCTAATTTTTCCAAATGTTCTACGGAATCTTGGTTGCATAGTGCAGTGGCAAACCTGAAATCCGGATAATGTTGTTTTATGGAACGATACATTGATAAAATTGATTTCACGGTCGTAATCATTCCATTAAAACAGGGAGGTCTCGAAATCTTGTTGGGGGGAGTACTCCACTTTCAACACCAGTCAACAAAAGACGTCAATAATTCTTCAACTATTAAATTATCATCTGATAATGGACCCTTTTCTCCTTTCCAATTATTTAAATGATAGACATTCATAGCATCTATTACTTTATTCATTTTGTAAACAAATTCTGCAGATGCTTTCCATGAAGAACTTTTTAATGTATCGCTTTGCCCTGCTGTTGATATTGCTGCAGCAAATCTTGCATTTAACATTTGAATTGCTCTTTTCACATTCATAACTTCAAAATTGTTTGGATAAAAATGCGCGTAGGTAATTCAATAAATTTGAAGTATTTAATTGTCTGTCAATTTGCCATGTTGCAAATAAGTCATGAAAAGACATAATAATTTCGCCATTTACATAAATGTACTTATGAGATCTCAACTGTCTAATTAACCGCTTGATAAGATGAGGCCAATCAAAAGAAGCAAAATAAGTTTCATTGTTCAATTGAAAAGACGTGGAGAAATTTTCATGTGAAGAAATTTTCCAAATATTAAAAGCTTTTCTATTTGGTCCACCTTGGTCATGTAATTATCTGCACATTTGCCCCTCCATCTTTCAATTTTTGTAAACACATCTCGGTGAGTTCAATAATCTCCTTATGTGTTGTACTATTTCCAGTCAAAAAGTATGCTACTATTTGCCGCCAAGGATTTTCCGCATTAATATTATCAAGGCAAAATAGTAGAATATGTCCCGCTTGTTCATCGCGTCGTCCCAAGGGTCCGAGATCTACTAAACCTTCGATGATATCATATTTTCGACTGTATTCTTCAAATTTTTTAATTGACATCTCATCGAATTTTAAACAGTCAACTCTTTGAGAAGAGTAATTTAGACAAATTTTCTCGAGTTTTATAAAATATTTCTTCACAAAATCCTGGTCGAATTTCTGTTTCTGATATCCAATTTTTGACAGAAGATTCTGATGGGAGATTTAGTCCAGCCTTTCTCATCCGTGAATATCCACTTGCGGAATAATAAAACATTTGTTTTGCTAAATCTTTTTCTTCTTTTGTATATTCTTTTCGTCTCTTATGAAACTGAAGTTTTATCATAGTTCTCGCAAGTGGTTTTAAACATTTCTTTCCATTTAAAAATTAATTTAGACTGTGTTTGCAAATGTTCTTGTTTTTCTGAATTGCAATATTGCGATGTTTCAACATATGAGTCATACTTTTTTGTTTTCTCTTCCTCTCCATAAGAAATTTTTTCAGTCTCAAATTTTCTTTTTTTAACTTTTCAATTTCGGAGAATTCATCTTTATTATACACTTTTTCAGAAGCAGACTTTTTTTGCGTTTTTACTCGCCTTTTTATCATGTTCGCTTTCACTTCTTTCTGCGAGTAATTATCCAAAAATAGTCGAAGTGGATTTTCATTATTAAGGGATTATATCTGTTTGGTGCCCAAAAAAAGGCCTTTTTTCATTTTTTTTTTATGAGCTCGTTTTTAAATAATCATAAACAAATAATATATGAATCGATTAAGCAACTCTTCATGAATATGAAAAAAATTTTTTATTGGCCTAAATTTACAAAATGGCGGCTGTTGGTCAATAAATTAAAAACAACATTTAAAAAAGTATCTCCGCGGCACGCAGTAGAAGTCCCTTGGATCACCATCTGGAAGCATAAAAAAAATTTTTTCATAAACTATATGAGTTTTGCTAGTGAAGTATACACGATCTTAGTTATAGAACTTTTTTTCGCAAAATGGCGATTGTTTAAACAAAAAATTGCGTTTTCGACAAAAAAATCGACTTAAATTGTTTATATTTTTTTTTCTTATTTACCGATCATTAAAATCGTGTGTACTTCACTAGATAATCGAATGAAGAAGCTACAGTTAAAATTTCAAGTCAATCGGATGAAAACTCTTCGAGTTCTGCTGCGTGCCGATTTCAAAAACATGGTTTCGAGAAAAACGCATTTAAAGTTTAAAAACGCTATAACTTTTCGAAATCATAATAATATGGTCCATAATAATTTTTTTACCTTCACTCTGCTATCCCAGCACCGTATAATTGCCCTTCCAAAGTCGTATTCTGGTCCTGCAGCTCTTTTCTCGCCGATGTAAGGCTGCGTCTAGCCGTTTTCTCAATCTCGGAAATGGAGTGTTCAGCGGCCTTGATGCGATTGGCGTCCGATTCCATGCAAAAGTCGAATAATGTACGTCCAACCGTTATTCCTAGTGCATCGTAGATAGAACATAAGCCTGATAACCCCTCGTTGAAAGTGATGGCAGCGATATCAGTCGCTATATCAAGCACAGTCTTTCCGCTTGACACTGTTTTCGATGCAATGGTCCATACAACTGCGTTGAATGATTCGTTTTGATTTTGGGTGTATCCACCCAAGCAACGTGAAAGAAGATCGTCAGAGCTTAGTTCTTCGTAAATCGACTTAATTGCTTCAAAAACATCTTTATGCATAGGAGGCTTATGCTGCATAAGTAGAAAGAGTACCTAATGCTTTGCTCCGTTGCCAAGAGCACCAAGAATCGACTCCGACTGGACACTTATCGTGTTGCGGTTTTTCATCTGTGGATATTTTATGGTAGAGGGTTGCCCATATATCATTTCTCATTTTTTCAACTGATTCAGTATTGCGTCTAATAGCAAGTCCGTAAAAAATAGTAAGTTCATCAATGAGCTTACCCGTCAATTTACCTCGGCCCCCGAGGTCTTCGGTATTTTTTTTTACGTTACGAAGGCGAGTTCCTATTCTCTTTTGAACATGGCCAATACACTCTTTTTTAGCAACAGAAACATTTCCATACGGATTGGCGTCAACAATTCCTTTATAGGTTTTCGAGTCCCCATCGCCAATGTAATTGACATATTTCACATTATGAAGTGATTCGGAGCGCTGGAACATGTCAACAACGGCGTCGACCTCCATCTTGCCCGCTGAACTCTCATGATTTACTTGGCAATGCAATTCATGGTCAGCAAAACCTTCTTCATATTCTGCAGTTCCTTCTTTTTTCTTCCAATATTCACACACTTTACAATACTTTGATTTGACACAAACATCCAACACTTTACCAGTATACCAACCAATTAGCGTAACGAGCCCGAAAAGAGAAGAAAAACCTCGCTTTCTCCACGAACCGTCGCCAGATACTGTAAGCCTATCGCTGTTATTATGCTCTATAGACAATACTTTTTCTTTTTCAGCTGCACTTTTCAAACATAAAGTGCGCACGCGTTCGGTAGCAATCGCAATATTAGAAATAATCTTATCGTACGTTACTTGAAAAACTGGCTTTGGAAGGTCCATGAAAGCGCAAAACTTTTTAATGCCATTGATTCCAATACCAAGTAAGCGCATTGCAAAAATCATACGTGTGTTGACTTCATATGCACGATCATTAATTAATGGGCAACTGTTTATAGAATGATCGCTGCAATTCCTGCAGTTTACAATAATTTTGGAGCCAAGCCCGCGTCTGCTGCCCTCTGAAAATGTCACGTCACCTTTGCATTCTCTGCATACCACAACTTGAGAAATAGCATTAAAAACAGTCAGAAAATTGATGAAACGGTAGCCAAACGATTCATCCACTTCTCTATCACACTTTTCATCGTTCATTTTGAGTTTTTTTGTCGACGCGCTAACGTACTCCGAATCGTGTTCGAAAGAATGACGGTTAGGCGGACGCCTGTTTCCGATTTTGCTTCGTCTTCGCGTTGAATAGTTTTCTTTAGTGGCCTTTGCGGCCATCATACACTTTATCACTCATAATTCAGAACGTTTAAATAAATTATAAAGGCAAAATAATAACGGTAAACACGTAACTACGACTCGAACTGCAGCGTACAGCTGATTGACGAAATACGTGCTCTTACAATAGTAAACACGTACTATAATATAGTCTACGATAGTGTATGTATAGTACACAGCGACATCTATAACATAGTTTTCAAGTATATTCTCGGCGATCGATAAGTTATAGGCATATATATGACCATGAGATTCAAAAATGCAGCGTCAACGATATAGTCGAAATTTGCTTTTTTTACATCTCAGAGTTACTCTAAAAAAATTGATTTTCAGAACATTTCTGAATTTTTTTCATGCTTGGACATTATTGATTATAAATCTAGGGATGTTTTGGCGTAATTTAAGCCAATAAAAAGAAAATGGAAAAAAAAAATTTTTCAAACAGATATAACCCCTTAAACCACTCATCGTCTGCGAAGTCATTTCTGAAATTGCAGAAAAGTTCTTTTCCGAAAGGGTAACATCTCTTACGTGTCGCTATTTTTTTTAACTACTTCTTCATTTGTATTGTTTATTTTTTCAATGTTTACTTGAAAATCAGCATGCGTTTCGACTTCCATTGGAATGCAGTCTTGATTATCCGAATGGTTTACATTTTCTTGTATAATATTTTCATTAATTCTGCCTTCTTCTGTAATTTTTTCAGCATTATCTTTCACAAAATGTGTAATCTCAGTCTCCTTTGAGGTCCATGATATGGGGTTCTTTCTAATATGTAATTTTGTACAGCTTATAAAATCTTCTTTATTAAAGTGGTCTGCACATAATCCTGCTTTTTGTATTGATGCTGGGGACCACTTAAGTAACTTTTCATTACCCGTTTAAATATAAATCTATAGTTAAATTTATACACTGAAAAAACATTTTAACCTTTAACCATTTAACATAAAATCAAATAGCAAACAAATTCATAAAAATGTTTTTAAAAAATTTAGAAAGCATTTTTTAAAACATTAAAATAGTTATGTAACTTTTTATTTATTACAAAAATTTTAATTTTAACATTGAAATAATGTTTTTTACATGTTTTAAGAAAAATTACTTTTTAAATATTACTTAAAAAATTTATTTTACATTTGAAACTCCCACGATTTTTATTTTTTTTTTAAATAAAAAGACATATTTATACTTAAACAATATATTTTTAATATTTAATGATTTAATAGATACGAGATAAAAACATGAAAAATATTCTTTTGTAAAAATATTTTCTTTATATTACGATTATTTTATGCATTTTATATATATTAGAAGATATATTCGTATCTAACATTAAATATATGCCAAATATTTATTTCTACATAATAAATATTACATATATGACATATAAAATAATAAAAAAATAAAAATAATTCATAGCTCAAGTTTTAAATTTAGGATCCCTGGATTAAAAAAATATTACAAGGAGCATTGGATGAAAAGCTCGAATACAGATCAACTTAATTTTAATACAGATTAAAATTATAAATAATTTAATGTCGCTAGTCGAGTAATCAAAGGATCAATAGAAAAATTGTAGTCGACCAAACTAGCCAAAAAATTAAGTTTATTAATACGACGTTTCGACCATGTGGTTGTGGTTCTTATCAAGTATACACGATGTAATAATAATCAGAAGACAACATTAATGGTGAACATGTAAAACCACGTAATCACGTAATACAAAAAACGTTATTTAATTAAATTCAAATTTGAGAGAAGCTGATGCGTCCATGTGAGACTTCGTCAATAAATTGACAGTTTATTGACGAAGTCTCACATGGACGCATCAGCTTCTCTCAAATTTGAATTTAATTAAATAACGTTTTTTGTATTACGTGATTACGTGGTTTTACATGTTCACCATTAATGTTGTCTTCTGATTATTATTACATCGTGTATACTTGATAAGGACCACAACCACACGGTCGAAACGTCGTATTAATAAACTTAATTTTTTGGCTAGTTTGGTCGACTACAATTTTTCTATTGATCCTTTAATACAGATTCACCACAAGAAAGGAGATCAAAATTGATGAAAGTCAACCGCAATCCTTGATAGTGCACTTTAAAAAATTTTATTTAAATTTCATTAAACAAAATTACATGAAATTTTTAAGACAGTTGTTTCTTCATTTTTCACACAATTAAGCTTTTTTATAACCATCAATTATTTTTGGTATTTTCAAGAATTTTGTTCACTGAAGATCAATGGCCGGCAAGATAAGATCTTTCTTTGAAGTCAGCTAAAGCCAATAAACATAAAATAAGAAGAAAAAAAGAATTTTGTATTTTTACTTACCATAATTTCTTATCCAAATGTCAAATCTTTCATCAGTCTTCTGTGGAAAACGAAACAATTTACAGTTCTCTGATTTGATATTATTACAGTTTTTGTATGCACATCTGTCGAATATCGTGATTTTCTTCACATTATTCTTATCCATTTTGATCTACGAAAAGTACCTGAAACAATCGAAAACAAACCGCAAACCGCAAACAAAGAACGCCGAAAAAGCACGCAGTTTCCGCGAATCTTCGGTTTTATCGAAATTACAATTTCGTTAAAACTGTAGATTCGTAAAATCGGATCACTATACACACACACACGTCACTATTCACAATAATTATTTCAATAACAACGATAAAAAATCGTAAGATATTGAAAATCGCAAAGGAAAGCACAATGAGAATTCGTTTTGTGAGACACAGTCGATGTGATCACTCAAGAACGCCAGAAGCTTGTGAGCTCGCCGCGATAAGACAAAACAATTGCGTGTCGATTTCACGTTGTTAAATCTGTTAAAACGCGGCGCTTTAATTCTTCCGACGTTTGCGACGTTTCTTTAAAGATTTTATTTTGTCCCGTTTCAAAGATCTTTTCCGCGAGCAAAGTTCGGAAATGGATAATTAAATTTTTATACTTTATAATTTGTAATCCTCGATATTTTCAATAAATGTTAATTTTTATTAAAATTTTGCGATTAAAATAACATCAAACACGGTATCACTCGGATAAATGTAATTAAATATATAACCAAAATTTTTATTATCAGACCAATTAAAAATTATCCGATTTATGTCATGTTTAATATCATTTTAATCGCAAGAATCTCAATAATTCATTAAAATTACTTTCAAATGGATAAAATAAAAAATAAGAGTTTCAGTTTTTATTTTATAAGATGTTTACATTCGCGAGGAAGCCGAGTCCGCTTATCTTTACGACCTGTCAAGTGCGAGAATGACAGCGAGTCGAGAACGAGCGAGATGACCTATCATCAAAGAATTCCGAAGTCTCTTACAATCGGCTTCTTCACTTTCTCTATCCATTCGCAATTTACGAGATTATAAAATAAAAATTGAAACTTTTATTTTTTATTTTATCGATATGAAAGTAATTTTAATGAATTATTGAGATTTTTGTGATTAAAATGATATTAAACACGACATAAATCGGATAATTTTTAATTAGTCTGATAATAAAAAGTTTGATTATATACACGGTGGGCCATTTTAATCGATGCACTCGAATATCTCGAAAACAGCACTCTTCAGAAAGAAATGTTTCAAACAAAAATTGTAGGGTGTGAAGGGGAACATAAGATGGTAGCATTGGTTTGACCTTGGAAAGTCATTTGAAGGTCACATAAAAGTCACCTTCAATTTCTTAAATTGAACCCACTATTTTTCATTACATATTCTTGTAGCTTATCTCGAGAGCTTTCCAAAACACTCCAGACAAATGTTTTTTCATTAAGTACTTTTTGAGTTATAAGGCTTCAAAGTTTGCAGTACTTCGATATAAAATGCAAAATATCTCGTAAAATATTTAGTTTTCGGTAGTCTTACCCTAATACTTTTATGCACAGGATAATGAGACAAAACTATTGGTACAAAGAAAACGCATGATTGTTTATAACAAAAAGTGCATTTCAAATTACACATTTTTTATCATAAACAATCATACGTTTTCTTTGCACCAATAGTTTTGTCTCATTATCTAGTGCATAAAAGTATTAGGGTAAGACTACCGAAAACTAAATATTTTACGAGATATTTTGCATTTTATATCGAAGTACTGCAAACTTTGAAGCCTTATAACTCAAAAAGTACTTAATGAAAAAACATTTGTCTGGAGTGTTTTGGAAAGCTCTCGAGATAAGCTACAAGAATATGTAATGAAAAATAGTGGGTTCAATTTAAGAAATTGAAGGTGACTTTTATGTGACCTTCAAATGACTTTCCAAGGCCAAACCAATGCTACCATCTTATGTCCCCCTTCACACCCTACAATTTTTGTTTGAAACATTTCTTTCTGAAGAGTGCTGTTTTCGAGATATTCGAGTGCATTGATTAAAATGGCCCACCGTGTATATTTAACTACATTTATCCGATTGATATCGTGTTTTATGTTATTTTAATCGCAAAATTTTCATTAGTTTGTCATCGGCCGCTTGCCAGCGGCAGACTTGATAACGAGATGAACATGACAGTATATCAGTATGTGAAATAATAACAGAAGCGAGCAAGATAGTAATAGGAGCGAGCGAGATAATAATAGGAGCAAGCGAGATAATAATAGGAGCGAGCGAGAGAGAAATAGTATGCCAGGCTGCAAGAAAGACTTGATTTTCGAGTCTTCGTTGCTCGTTCTATTCCTATCTATTCGCTTTTACTGCCATTTCGTTCCCTCTTATTATCTTCTCGCTTGCTCACATAACTCCCGCGTACACTATATATATATATATATATATATTCCGTGCTATGTGCACGAAATATCCGTAACACGAATTCTGTAAGGTGTTTATTTATATTAAATATATTTCTATGGTAAATAAATTTTATTATTTCTCTCTCGCTCTCTCTCTCTCTCTCTCCCCCTCCCTCAATTTGCATTGGCCACTACTACGGTATGGCGCTGAAATCAGTGAGAAAGTACCGGTCTAGTCTTTACCCGGGTCATTGGCTATCTGTCTATTAATCTGTGGTGCTGCGGCCTTATATGTTACCCTCTGAGAACTTTCGTGGACATTGGCTTTGTAGTTCATGTCCACGTTTTTTAGATTAACAGAGGGCGCGTCGGTTTCAGGGATCACCTAAAAGCGGGCCATGACACCTCTCAGTCTTCTCTCTGACCACAGACTTATAGAATAGACTGGCCCCTACCGTAAGAGGCAGCGTTGAAAAATATAAAGGACAGAAAGATGATTCCGGGTATCTCTGTCCTTCTCTTTTGTCTCGTGGTGGGGACACTGATGAGTGAAAGCGAAGCGAGCATGCACATTGCTTTCTTCTTATTACCTACACGCATGCTTGCTTCGTTTGTCCCCACCACAAGACAAAAGAGAAGGACAGAGATACCCGGAATCATCTCTCTGTCCTTTAGATCTTTCAACGCTGCCTCTTACGGTAGGGGCCAGTCTATTCTGTAAGTCTATGGGTATGACAGCTATCCTAACCTAAATAGTAGTGAACTTTAATCGTGAAGGCCAGCGCATATAAAGAACTCTGATTGGTTGAATCTTTTACCCCATCCATAAAGGTGCGGCCTCATTGACGCTAAAAAGTAGCGTCAACTATTGGTTGAACAAGGAGGTAAGTATAGTTGCTTCATTGTTCAACCAATGGTTGACGCTACTTTTTAGCGTCAATGAGGCCACATCTTAAAGGTGCGGCCTCATTGACGCTAAAAAGTAGCGTCAACCATTGGTTGAACAAAGAGGTAAGTATACTTACCTCTTTGTTCAACCAATGGTTGACGCTACTTTTTAGCGTCAATGAGGCCGCACCTTAATGCGTTATTTTGAATGTATAAATTTATTTAAATGACAAAAAAGCAACTTTCCCAAATAAAAGTATCATAAAATATATTATCCCCAAATGATTTCTAATCGATTCCGATTATAATATATATTAAACATAATTACGATCTGCTAACTTGACATTCAATATATTTTTATTATTAAAAGGAAAATATTATTTCCTAAATATTAAAATGATTTTCCTAAACTTCCCCAAACGATTCCCAAATTATCTAATAAAGAATAATTCGAAAATATTCAATTCCTCTGCTAACTCTACGGCGGTGCAGAGCACTTGTCTGTAATTTCAAACGAAAGTAAAGTAATTGTCAAATGTAAAGATCTTAAAAATTAAAATAAAAAAGATTTTATAATATTTAAAAGGTTTTATAATATTTATAGTTTAATATCTCAACATTTCATATAGTTAAATAAAATTAAAATATAATAAAAGTTAAAATCGCGTTAAACCAATCGTTAACCAATTACAAAAGGTAATATTTGACTAATAGAAACATAGACATAGTAAGTATAGACCGAGCATACATTGTATAAGCGTTAAGGTGCAATTTCATTGACGCTAAAAAGTAGCGTCAACCATTGGTTGAACAAAGAAGTAAGTAGTTGCTTCTTTGTTCAACCAATGGTTGACGCTACTTTTTAGCGTCAATGAAATTGCACCTTTAAGCATACGAAAAGAAAGACAAAAGATGTAAGATGAGTTTCTTTCTCTTTTCAATGCCGGAGAAGTGGGGAGCACTTCTCCACATCTTCTCGCGCCGGTTCGTCATGGAGGGGCGAGGAGATAAGGAGAAGTGCTCCCCACTTCTCCGGCATTGAAAAGAGAAAGAAACTACATCTTTTGTCTTTCTTTTCGTATGCTTAACGCTTAAGGTGCGGCCTCATTGACGCTAAAAAGTAGCGTCAACCATTGGTTGAACAATGAAGCAACTATACTTACCTCTTTGTTCAACCAATGGTTGACGCTACTTTTTAGCGTCAATGAGGCCGCACCTTTATACAATGGATGCTCGGTCTATACTTACTATGTTATGAATAGAAAAATATAATAGGTTAAAAATTTATAAAAAGATTATAAAAAATTATAAAAATTAAAATTTTGTCAAATTTATAATATAAACATTTTCACAATTTATAATATAATAAATAATAATATATAATTTATAAATAATAAATAATATAATAAATATTAATATTATTTTATTTATTTATTTTATTTATTTTATTTTATTTAATATGTGATGCCATGTTACTCTTGCACTTCAAGCGTTTTTTATTCTTGCCTCAATTCTCGGCGAGAATTTCTCGCTTGCACTTCAGTGCAAGTTCAGTTCTAATGCAGTCTAGTACAAGAATAACAGACCTATTAAAAGAGGAGATTCGGATTTATCTTTTGACAATTTTATTTTTTTGATGTTGTTCTCGAGATATTTATACAGATTCTATTAATGTAATATAATCTATTACGATACAATTATGAAAAGAGTAATCATTTTCGTTAATGGAACCGATGTTAATGGCAAGGTTAGGTTAGATGATGTCATATTTTGTTTATAGTAAATTTATATTTTGTTTTTTTTTCGTTCTCTCTCTCTTTCTTTCTGTTTAATATTTATAAATTGAAAATTTAATTTAATATTTGTTATTGTTTTAAATTAAAAAAGTATTATTTTTCTTTTTCTCTGTTTCTCCCTCTCTCTCAACAAATAAACTTATTTTAAACATTCTTAAAAATGATAGTTTGCTAGAAATAATGTGTTTTTCATATGTATAATTTATTTATAATAGGTACTTATGGTGACTCATTCATTAGATGAATTATTAGCAGCAGCCGGTGCAAAATTCGAAATAACAGCAAAAAGAATTTTTACATCACAAGGTGGAGAAATTGATGATATCAAACTAATTAGGTAAGATGCATATTTATTTCATTATTTTTTTATTATTAAGATTGTGTATATATTTTTATTTCAAATGTGTGCTATTTTTTTCTGTAGCAGATATGTATATTTCTTACAATTTTTGATTCTTACAATTATTGTTTTCATATGTACACAGACAAAATTATTAAATAACTGTGATTCTTTTTTGCAGAGATGATGATATTCTATATATTTCAAGTGGAGAAAATTTTATATCAATAAACAAGATATGTAGTCATAATCAGTTAAATAGAAATTCAGAATGGATTACACTGAATGTAGGAGGACAATATTTTACGACAACTAGAAACACTTTGACAAAAAAAGAGCCTATGAGTATGTTAGCAAGGTACTTTATTTGCTAGTTATTACTTAATTATTACTATCATAACTTATTACATTGTTTTTTGTTCTAAATATTTAAAAAATTAACTAGTTTCCTTTTATGTGCCTGTCAACTTCTTTGCACTATTGCAATATTAAATTTCACTTTTTGTATGCTTGTACATATACACACATTTTTATAATTATTTTTTTTTACTTTTTTTAATCATTTTGAATGGCATTATATAGTCATACATTATATAGACCATCGTAGTTAAAATTAATTGAAAACAAAGTTTAATTAAAATCAAATTTAGAAAATATTTACAATATATATATATATATATATATATATATATATATATATATATATTGAAGTACAAAAATTACTTAAGAAAAAATATAGTGTAAGCGTTTAAAAGAATATTGTTATTAAAACATATTTTTTGATGATTTTTAATAAAAATCTTTTATTGATGTATTACACATATTTCGAATATACTATAATATAATACCGGTCAAAATATATTACCTTTATGCTTTTGAAGATATTAATTCAAAAGGCATATATTTCTATCTAGTCAAATATGTTTAATACTAAGTATGTAAGTTACTGAACAATAAACTTTTCACTCAATAAGGAAACAGCAACTCAAGAAAAATTGATGAAATATATACACTTTGAATTAAGTTATTCTCAAAAAACATAAAGGTGATATATTTTTAACCGGTACTGTATATAGATACATACATACATACATACATATATATATATATATATATATATATATATATATACATACACGCACATATAATTGTATATAAAATTTTGTTAAATTACAGTAATATATAGTATTTTATGTATTTAAAAATTTTTATAACAATGAGCATTCAATGAATATTTCTATCTTTGAGCAAATAAATCACATACTCAGCTTGATTATTTGATTAGTTGATTGAAATTTTGATGTGATTAAAAATTATTTGTTTTTATTTTTTCATTTGTTTTTATTTTTATTTTGTTTTTTGTCTACTCTCAATTGCAACAAATTAATACTTGAATGTATTTTAAATATATATTTTATAAAATAAAGAAATACATGAGATGTACATGAATTTATATTAATTATTTTATAATAAGCTATATATTGTTAAACTAAGGATATTATACATATATTGTTGTGCTAAGAGAATTATTTCTATTATAATAATCTGCAATCAAAAAAAAATTTACTTTTAAAATGAACGTATATATGAATATAACTATCATTAAAAGTATTAAAGAAAAAAGATCCAGATGTACAAAATAATTAATTAAATTCATATAGTTTCTAAAAATGAAAGTTTTTTTTATTTAAATAATTTTTATGAAATTAATCTTTGCTATATAGTCTGACAATAGCATATTACAAAATTCATAGTTTGTATATGCTTAATTTTTTACTAAAATTGTATGTAAAGCATTTTTTAAAAATCGATATTCATAAGAAATATATTATTACATCATTAAAAAGAATAAAAATAACTTCTTTTTCACATTTTATAATTTTATCCTTTATTAAACAATTATATTGGATTGTCAAATTGGACGATAAATGAAGAATAAAAAAATAATGTTTGTTAACAATAATTTGATAATTATATTATATAATGTATTATATTATATGTGTTTGATAACTATATTAAAATAATAATAACGTAATGTGTTCTATGTAGAATGTTTACAGAAACAAATGCTGAACATGCAATACAACCAAGTAGACAAGATCATCATGGAGCATATTTAATTGACAGAAGTCCTACATATTTTGAACCATTATTAAATTACTTGAGGCATGGTCAAGTAATACTTGATTCGAATATTAATATAGCTGGTATATATTTTCAAATTTAAATTAATATAATAAATATTTACCGATTAAAATACAACAAATATTTTGATTTAGGAGTATTGGCAGAAGCTTCTTTTTATGGTATCGAAGGTGCTATTCGAATCCTTACTGCAATGACAGAAAAAGAAGAACTGCAGAAAGAGGGTCTTATATCTCTAACTCGCAAAGATGTACTTAAAGCCATTATGTCAACACCAACTACTGCAGAACTTAGATTCCAGGGAGTTGATTTTGTAAGAGCTGATCTTTCAAAACTAGATCTTAGGAATATTAATTTCAAGGTATATTATGCATTGTAAAAGTTAATTCATTAATAGAAATGATACAGGAAATTATATCTATATTTATGTATTACAGTATGCTATCATGCATCATTGTAGTCTGGCAGGTGCTAATTTGTCAGGATGTTGTTTTGAACGTGCTGACTTATCTTATGCTAATTTGCAAGGTGCACAACTTGTATGCGTCAAAATGTCATGTGCAAACTTAGCTGCAGCCAATCTACATTCATGCAATTTTGAAGATCCTGGTGGTTTACCAGCAAATATGGAAGGTGTAAATTTGAAAGGTGCTAATCTTGAAGGCAGTAACATGGCAGCTGTCAATCTCCGAGTAGCTACATTAAAAAATGCCATTCTTAAAAATTGCGTTTTGAGGTCTGCTGTTTTAGCTGGTGCTGATTTAGAGGTAAAATAATATTATACAATCTTTCCGAGCAAATGTTAAGTAATAGTTATATAACTGTTATATATATAATTTCTGTTCAATAATATAACTGTTATACAGGGTGTCCTCGACCATCCGTATACTCCTTTTCTTTCAAAAACTAAACATTTTAGAGAAAAACGTTTTCGACAAAAATTGTATGGTTTTGAGGGGAACATAAGATGGTGTCATTGGTTTAACCTTGGATAGCATCGTTAAGATCAGGTCAACGACACCTTTAATTTCTTAAATGGAACCACCTATTTTTTATTGCATATTCTTATAGCTTATGTCGAGAGCTTTCCAAAACACTATAATAAAGTATTTTTCCATTGAGTACTTTTCGAGTTATGAGGCTTGAAATAATTTTTCAATTTTACATAAACCATAAAATATCTAATAAAATATTCATTTTTTTATTATTTTACCTTAATACTTTTATGTACAAAATAATGAGAGGAATCAATTGATGTAAAGAAAACACACAGTTGTTTTTAAGAAAAAATATGTAATTGTTAATTGCAAATTACATATTTTTTCTTCGAAACAATTATGTGTTTTTTTTACACCAATTGATTCCTCTCATTATTTTGTACATAAAAGTATTAAGGTAAGATAATCGAAAAATAAATATTTTACTAGATATTTTATAGTTTATGTAAAATTAAGATATTATTTTAAGCCTCATAAATCGAAAAGTACTCAATGAAAATATACTTTATTATAGTGTTTTGGAAAGCTCTCGACATAAGCTATAAGAATATGCAATAAAAAATAGGTGGTTCCATTTAAGAAATTAAAGGTGTCCTTGACCTGACCCTAACGATGCCATCCAAGGTCAAATCAATAACACCATCTCTGTTCCCCTCAAAACCATACAATTTTTGTCGAAAACGTTTTTCTCTAAAATGCTTAGTTTTTGAAAGAAAAGGGGTGTACGGGTGGTCTAGAACACCCTGTATAACACATAACAGTTATGTAACATATAACAGCTATATTGTTGAGTTGGAAATTATAACTGACAGTTATATAACTATTACTTGATGTTTGCTGAATGATTTCTATTAGCATTTTTTTGTCTTTTAGTACTATAATCTGCATATACATGCATATATATATATATATATATATATATATATATATATATATATATACAGGGTGAGTCATTTTAATCAATACACTCGAATATCTCGAAAACAGCACTCTTCAGAAAGAAATGTTTCAAACAAAAATTGTAGGGTGTGAAGGGGGACATAAGATGGTAGCATTGGTTTGACCTTGGAAAGTCATTTGAAGGTCACATAAAAGTCACCTTCAATTTCTTAAATTGAACCCACTATTTTTCATTACATATTCTTGTAGCTTATCTCGAGAGCTTTCCAAAACACTACAGACAAATGTTTTTTCATTAAGTACTTTTTGAGTTATAAGGCTTCAAAGTTTGCAGTACTTCGATATAAAATGCAAAATATCTCGTAAAATATTTAGTTTTCGGTAGTCTTACCCTAATACTTTTATGCACAGGATAATGAGACAAAACTATTGGTACAAAGAAAACGCATGATTGTTTATAACAAAAAGTGCATTGCAAATTACACATTTTTAATTATAAACAATCATACGTTTTCTTTGCACCAATAGTTTTGTCTCATTATCCTGTGCATAAAAGTATTAGGGTAAGACTATCGAAAACTAAATATTTTACGAGATATTTTGCATTTTATATCGAAGTACTGCAAACTTTGAAGCCTTATAACTCAAAAAGTACTTAATAAAAAAACATTTGTCTGTAGTGTTTTGGAAAGCTCTTCGAGATAAGCTACAAGAATATGTAATGAAAAATAGTGGGTTCAATTTAAGAAATTGAAGGTGACTTTTATGTGACCTTCAAATGACTTTCCAAGGTCAAACCAATGCTACCATCTTATGTCCCCCTTCACACCCTACAATTTTTGTTTGAAACATTTCTTTCTGAAAAGTGCTGTTTTCGAGATATTCGAGTGTATTGATTAAAATGACCCTGTATATATATATATATATATATATATATATATATATATATATATTTATGTGCTTATTATTTTTTAGTGTTGTGATTTATCTGGCTCTGATCTACAAGATGCAAATTTACGAGGTGCAAATTTGAAGGATACTGCTTTTGAGTTAATGTTAACACCACTGCACATGTCTCAAACAATACGATAACAATGAATGTTATACTGCATATTATTGCAGATTGAATCCTTTAATAATATGAGATGACTGATATATAATAGATAATATTTAATAAATACAATAACTGTTATTTATAGTAACTTAAGTAAATATTATTATAATATAAAATATTTGTTGCATATCAAAAGTAAATAATTATTTTCTGTGTTATTAATAATATTTACATATTATTTTACTTATAAAATTACTATGTGTAATAGTTCAAACGTGAATTAATGTGTAAAATTTAATGGATTTTTAAGTGAATTATATTATGTTTATAGGTTAGTTTTTTCAGTATAATAATATTTTTAGATTATTTATAATATATTATTTGTTATGTATATATGCATTTTTTATATTCTTGTAATTTGTGAATTATTGTGTGATTTAATTGGTGTGAATATTTATTATATAATTTTTTATCCTTGAGAGAGATTAATTTATATAACATCTAATTTAATTAAAAACGTTATTTAAATTAATGTGTATAATTTAAAAAAATATGTAGTCCGTTCAAATTTTTATAATAAGAAAAGTTGAGAGAAATTTAAATATCATTTGCAATAAATATTGAATCTAAAGTTTATGTATAAGGTTTAAATTTTATATAAAGTTTTCCTTTTCTACTTGTGTATGTAATTATATACCATATCTTTTACAATAATAAAGCAATGAAATATTTACAATAAAATATATCTATAATAAAAAGATGAGAGAATTGTTAGTTTTTACTTTATAAATGTATAAATAAATAAATATAAAAAATATTAAAATGTGATTTATATAAATGTTAGTTTTTTTTTTAATATTTCGAAAGAATTCGTAATTTTTATAATTTTTTGATAATTAAAAAGTTTTTTAATTTTTTATAAAGTGAATTTTTGAAGATATTAAGAAATGTTAAGAAAATTTTAAGAATAACAGCAAACATAATGACATCTAAAGACATTTTAAGGGGGGAGGGTCGTCCAGAACTTTCAAATTTTTCATTTTTTTTTTTTGCTTTAAAAGTTCATTTGAATCCTAAAGAATATATTTACAATGTTTTAAGCCCAATAGAAAGTCTTTAAAAAGTCAAAGAAGTGATGAGCGTCGAAAGCAGGTAAACGAGCGCGCGCTCTTTACGGCCTATAGCTTTCATTTCTTACCTAAATAAGTTTTTTAGTTGACTTTTTGGAATATAGGAGACACTTCGGAAGATTATTCGGATTTTGTAACGGTCGTTTTTGGCTTACACAGGAATAGTAGCTGAGAAACAGCTTGCTCTTAGTATACAGAGCACGTGTTTGTATTTCGCAGTAACTCGTGTTTCCAGTGCCTCGTGTTATTATTTTGAATCGAGTTTTAAATAATAACTTGATAAAATGAGTCGTAAAATCGATAAAAATAATCCAAATTATCGTCCTAACTATCCTCGTCGTAAAAAATTTCAAGGAAATCAATTTTCTCAAATCATGGAAGTTGACGATGAGTCCAACGATGAAGCTAGTGCGTCAAGATCCGCAAAGAAATTGAAGTCATCAGCGGACGATATTATTATTAGCCAAAGTTTTGGCTACAGGATCATTGAGTTTGTCAGTGTATTTTCTGCTCTTGCTGATATATTGGTGTGCAAACAGTGCAAGCGAAAAGTGTCGTTCGGTCAATCAGGTGATAAAGGGCTCGGTTTCAAAATTTCCGTTACTTGTACATGTGGCACTCTACTCATTCCATCTAGCCCGTTTATTCACTGTGCTTATGAGATAAATAGACGTATAGTTATTGCAATGCGTTTACTTGGTGTCGCTCGAGAAGGTATAAATATTTTTTGTGGAGTGATGAATTTAGGCAGCGGACTAAGTAAAAATGCTTATGGACTCATTATCGAACACATACATACTTCCGTGCAAAAGTTGTTCGATATCTCTTGCAAAAATGCTATTGAAAACGAAAAAAAAAGAAAATGAAGCACGAGAACAACCGTTACTCAATTTGACTATTAGCGGCGATGGATCTTGGAAGAAGCGCGGCTTTTCGTCTTTGTACGGAGTAATTACGCTTATAGGCTATTATTCGGGTAAGGTAGTCGATTTGGTAGTAAAAAGCAGTTACTGTCAAGCATGTACGTACTTCAGAAATAAATCCGATTATCTAGAAATCGCAGAGCACGAAGAAGTTTGTACCATAAATCATAAAGGCTCTTCAGGCAAAATGGAAGTCGACGCAGTTCTTGAAATGTTCGGCCGTTCAGAAGAAAAATACGGTGTACGTTACGTGAATTATGTTGGAGATGGCGATACAAAAACATTTAAAGCAATATTAGATGCAAATCCGTACGAAAATACTGAAATAAAAAAAAGTGAGTGCGTAGGTCACGTGGAAAAACGCATGGGAAGCCGTCTTCGAAATATAAAAAAGATCGCAAAGCTCGGTGGAAAAGGCAAACTAACCGATGCTTTAATTAAAAAGTTAACAAAATACTATGGTCTTGCTATACGAAGAAATGCCAAGTCGAAAGATGATATGAAAAAAGCTATTATGGCCACGTATTATCATTTAATATCTACCGATGAAAAGCCCCAGCATCAGTTCTGCCCTACTGGCATCGACTCGTGGTGTCAATACAATGCTGCACAAGCCAATAATATTTCTTATGAGCATCCAGCTCCACTGCACGTAGATGTACAAAAAAGCATATTACCTATATACGAAGATTTGTCACGAGATGACTTGCTTGAGCGTTGTGTTGGCGGTTTTACTCAAAACGCAAACGAATCTTTCAGTTCAACTCTCTGGCGTCTAGCTCCGAAGCACTTGAATTGTGGCGCAAAAATTATTGAAATCGCAGCTTTTTTAGCTGGAGGAATCTTCAATGATGGCTATTTATTCGTACTTACAGTCATGAGGGACCTGGACTTGACAATAGGCTTGGAATGCAAGAATTTTGCGGACTCGTACGATAGCAATCGAGTGAAGAGGCAAGAGCGGCGCTCGTTAAATTCGTCAAAAGAGGCTAGAACTGCCCAGAAAGAAAAAAATGCTGCTGAATTAGATGATTTTATTGAAGAAGAAGGCTTGCTTTATGGACCTGCTATCGCAGATTAGCTTAGGTAACTATAAATTGCTTTTAACTGTACTTTTCAAGAACGAAAACTTTAATCGCGTTTTTCTCAAAACACGTTTTTGTCCGCGCCGTGGAACATAACTTAAAAAGTTATTAAGATATTAACTTGAAATTTTGTACAGACATTCTTTGAGGTATTGGCCTTTGTATGTACCTAAAATTTTGCATAAATTATTACTATAAACATTGTTTATAACAATTAGTTTATAAAAAAAAAGTGAAATTTTTTTCTTTTTGAGTTTAAATTGTGAAAAAAAATTTTTTTATTAGAAATAGGTATATGCAAAGCGTAATGACTTATTTTAATAGAATTTTTTTGTCCGATTGATTTCAGTTGATTACAAGAGGCTGGGCATTCCACGGCGCAAATCGAAGGAGTTAACTTTGAACAGCTGTAGCGCCGCCATTTTTTAATTTTTTTGCATAAAAATTTATGAGTGAATACATCATAACATGTACTATACTATGTAACTTCATTTGATAAGTGTATTCAGTTTCTCAAAAAAAATTATTAAAATACCTGTTGTCTGGACGACCCTCCCCCCTTAATAAAACGTTTGACTTAATGACGTATAATACACGTCATTAAGACGTTTTTAGACGTCATCATGTTTGTTGGGATTATTGATAAATAAATATAAGATTATTTATAATATAAACACAAATTTTTTTATTATTTTTATCGAAAATTTTGTCATAAATATTAATTATGTCGACAAAATTTTATTTTTTAAATATTATTAAAAATTCTCCCAAGAAAAAGGGAGAGAGAGAGAGGGAGGAAGAGGGAGAGATTGTTTATATTAATAATGAAAGATATAATATAAGCACACACAGAAAAATTTATCTAAGAGATATCTTCTTCTTCTTCTTTGTGTTTAAATGGCCACCTCTGATCTAGGGACGATCAATGTATTCAGGCCAGCAACTGATTTGTGCGAGTAAATTTCGTGCTGACAGAGAGAAACCTGAGAGCGGCCACCTTGCTTTAACGAGCACATTGTCCTAATGCGCCGCCTGACAAAGTGGACGTCAACTACAGTCCATTACAGTCGATAATGATACATGGTTGGTATCCGAGCTATGGTTCGTGTCTGAGCTATGGTTCATATCCGAACTATTCACATGAGTTAGACAAGAGCCGATAATCTATCGTTCTGCTTTTGTCTCACCAACGATGGCAGACCACGTGGCGGTAGGCATGAGGCGAACAGTGATTTTCTATCGTAAAGCTCATGTCTCCTTCCATTCCTTGTTAGCCCCGTCTCATCTTTCATGCGCTACATTCTACATAATTCGGATAGGATTTCGAGACGACTTCGGGCGCTCAATACATAGAGACAAATTTATTTATTTATTATATAGACATTTATTAAAAATGTTTTTTAATAAAACCTTTTCTTTTTATTTAAAATAATTATATATGTATTTCATAAATGCTTACAACTCTCATATTATTATTATAATATTTTATTTTATATATTTTTTAAATAATTAATTAATTAAAAAAATATACATATCAATGCGAATGATATCTTACTTTGATGCATTTGCGCCCAGATAGCAAAATCGGATAGCACGTTTTGCAATTTATGTGCTGCATACTATGTCAGCAGAATGCTGTCAATATTCCAACAAAATATGCCGTTTCAGTTAATGTTGTCAGAAACACAGCAAAAGTTGAGCATAACGTGCGTTACGATGTAGTGATAGAAATGTAGCAGAAATAAAGCAGAGTTTTACCAGCATAAATAGAACAGTTCAATGCTGGAATAATGTGTCGGCAGAATGCATACTGAGAGTACGCATAATCTGTTGTCATAGTGTAATAGCAAAATCTCATCAGAAATATCAAACTTGTGTAAGCACGCTATGACAGCAGAAACACAGCAGCAATGCAGCAAGCTCTGCCGTCATACGATGACATTTAATTTTTAAAATACAGGATCTGTGCGACGCAA